GAACGTATCTATTTTACTGGCAATTTGTGTATAAAAGTTTATTTTAGGTTACCACTTATCTGTATTCCGGCACGTGATTTCTCCAGCTCCACGCCAAGTATTTTCTAGCCTAATTTTTTATTAGACATATGTGAATTCTTTGAAGATTCCATTTAGTTCTTTCTTCCGATACACCAGGTAACTATTTCCTACCTTATATTACAAATTACTACAACTAACCTCTTATTTTTTTATATTTGTTTATAAACAAATTTATTTCAAAATGATTATCTCTGCTTTGAATATCTTTTTGTTAAATTTAACTTTAATTCTGTAAGAAACAATTGAATAATTTCCCTTAAAACAATAAAACAACCTATTTTTAAATCCCAAATGGAAATTTTATTAACACATCTAATTTGCCAAATAACTACTGTAATACAACTGAGTGTATCGAACAACTCAAAAAGATATCACACCACTGTTGAAAAACCGGTCGATAACAACGAACGCTTTTTCTAGGAATTAGAACACCATGGGCGTGCGGAATTTCTTTTACATTCGGCCATCCTGATAAGATTGTCTGTCCTCAGACAAAATGGTTCTATATTAGATAAACAAAAGAAGATAGACATCCATGGCACTAAAACATATAATAAAGCCAAATAATAATTAGAGGTTCGTTGATCTCATAAGATCCTTGTTGAATCCTGAAAAAGAAAAATAAAAAAGAAACACTAAAGATCCGTTGATCTTGTGAGATCCGTGTTGATCTCAAAAATAAAAAACTAAAGATCCGTTGATCTCGTAAGATACGTCTTGATCTCGTGAGGTCCGTGTTGACCTCAAAACTAAAACTAAAGATCCGTTGATCTCGTAAGATCCGTTTTGATCTCGTGAGGTCCGTGTTGATCTCAAAACAAAAACTAAAGATCCGTTGATCTCGTAAGATCCGTCTTGATCTAAAAATGAAAAACTAATAATTAATCTCGTGAGATCCGTAATGATCTCTCAAAAAATAAAAAAAAAATATTTATAAAACTGACTTATCGTCATCTTAAAATGTAACCCACTTTTTCATGTGGTCTGGAGAAACAACAGTTGTACGTCTACCACGTTTGGTAAGTTCTCTTAGGTCTTCAACCTCATAACGATCATTAATGAAGACTTTGAGGACACAAAATGATCCTTTATATTTGGGAAAGAGCTTTTTACTAGAACCAGTTGCTACTTCACTAGTTATTCTAATCATAATCAAATCTCCTTCTACGTATTTTGTAGCGTCTCATCGTGATTTATCATACCGTTCTTTCTGTTTCTTCTGATCTTCCGTTATGTGTTTAGCTGTATTACTACGAAGTAATTTAAGGTCTAATCGTTGTATTTGATTCTGAACTTTATTAAGAATCCAAGCTTCAGACATATTCTTCGACTTGTAACCAATTAAGGCTTACATAGAGGAGTCGGATTGATTGATTTATTAAAATTAGTATTTAGTGAACATTGTATTTGTTTCTCAAAACAATACCACCTAATAGAATCCTCCCAAGCTACTGTGGTAGCTAACGCATTAACTATGGTTTTGTTATACCTTTCACATTGCCCGTTAGCCACTGCATTCAATGTATGTTTAATGTCATAAGTATTATTAAACATTTTGAACGAATTTGATGTAAAGGCTGTACCTCCGTCACTGATTATTCTGTTCAATACGCCAAACAAACTAATCAGATTCATTAAAATGTTTAAAACATGTTTTGCTTTTTGATTTAGCACAGTTTCCAAAATACAGAATTTAATGAATACATCCACTATTACTAATAAAAAATATGTTCTTATTTTTGCTCATTTCAAAAGGACCCAATGGTCAATGTGAATAGTATGAAAAGGGATTGAGACTTTTTCTATAGGATGCGAAGTTTGCCCCGTTTTAATAATCCGCTGTTTTTATTTCGATCCAAGAAACATCATATTTTTCGTCATACCACTGTACTGAAATTCCACTAAATCGCCCGGCTATTAGACACATAATAGAATCGTCATCCCATTTATATCATTCTGTAAGCTTTTCTACTCGTTGTATTCATTTTCTACTACTATTTCATCTTTTATTGGGACAAATAAAGGAATTAAAAATTCATTCCCAGAACAAGCAGACGTCGAGGGTTTGTTACATAAGTCTTCTTTCAATCGTTTAAAAGTCGTCTTCAAACTACTTTCGTTACGTGAGTTTTCTTTCCGTGATCGTTTTCTACCCCTATTGGCCATATTCACTTAAACCGGCACTAATTTTTATCGTTAAAACCACAATATATAAGAACTGCGTAGAAACTTGCGATAAAAAAAGTGTTTCTAACGGTTTTTCACTGTTAATTTTCAAGTTCATATCCCACTTCTGACAATTTGTAAGAAACAATTGAATAATTTCCCTTAAAACAATAAAACAACCTATTTTTAAATCCCAAATGGAAATTTTATTAACACATCTAATTTGCCAAATAACTACTGTAATACAACTGAGTGTATCGAACAACTCAAAAAGATATCACACCACTGTTGAAAAACCGGTCGATAACAACGAACGCTTTTTCTAGGAATTAGAACACCATGGGCGTGCGGAATTTCTTTTACAATTCTTTCAATTTTAATTTTTATGTCATTCAAAATTCAAAATGTCTACCAGAAACATCAAAAACTGCCCAAAAACTGTTTATACCGCCTGACAACCGTCGTTTCTAAGGAAAGATAACATCTGCTCTCCTCGCTATAAATGCATATCGAATTTCATTATTTTGTGCCGTCATTTTCATTAAGGTATTTATAGATATTCTTTCTTATTATTAGTTGTGCAAAACATACCGGGTGTTCTATTCTCAATTAACATGTTATTCTAAATCAGGTAATTGTTTTGTCAAATTTTGTGTACACATTTATTTTTCTTTAATCCCATGTGTTGTTTAACTTTTAATTGTCAAATTGATTCAACTTGTCTTATGTTATACAGGATTGTTCATTAATCCTAGATATTATTTGATGAACCTATTTGCTTTATACTGGGCTGGATTATTTTTCAATTTTACTAATCACAATAGATTAAAATAAATTATTAACATACAGGGTTGTTCATTTGTACTTGATATTATTTGGTAATTTGTTTATTTTTATTATTAGCTGTACTGTTTAAGTTTACTAGTTAAATCGATTGAAATCGTGTATTAACATACAGGTATGTTCATTATTATTAATTATCATAACAATTATTTTCTCTTATTCGAGATTTTATTCTTCTGTGCTTCTTTATACCCTTATTTTGATTTTAATATATTGTATTTCGTTGTAATATATATATATATATATATATATATATATTGCTTGTTTGTTAAAGAATTATCCTGTTAAGTTTCTCATTTGGATGTTTATTTTTTGAAATAAAATATTTTTCTATATATAACGTGATTTCAAGCCAAACTAGAAACACGATGAATATAGTTTCTAGCGCGGACATTTTCACGTATGTTTTAAGTAGCATGTCAACGGTATTCATACGTATAACGTAGTACATAAAAAACGTTTTTTATACCAAAGTGTATTCGTATAAATATATTACAACTATAAATCTAATATAGACATATACCTAGTAAACACGGTTAATTATAGGTGGATAAATTAGTAGTAATCGACGTTTACATGTAACAAATAATATTCGTTTATAGGGCAGACATTTTCACGAATATATTGGATATAGCTAAAAATTACGTAATTTATACCAAAGTGTGTTGCCTGGGAACTCCTTTAAAAATAATATATTTTGATTTAATTGTTGAATTTATACTTGTAGCGTTGTTGCAGAGAACTATTGTGTTCTGCTTTTAGCTGATAAATCATCTACATGTAAATGGGTTGAATGTAGATAATGTTAATGTTTTTGCTACTACTGCTGGCTAGGAATGCTGGTCTGGGACACCAACAAAAAAAAAACAAGGAAGCACAAAGCACTAGATCAGTTTCTATTATACTCTTACAATTTACAATACTTCACGAAAACATATTAAACATAAATCAGTCGAATGCAGTGTATTTTCTTTTTATAACACACTTTTTTAACTTGATAACTTCTAGTACTCTATATATTCCAATGTCCTCAAATAAAATAAGCAATAATACGTGACAATAACGATAGAACACACACTGAAGTGTATTTGTGGAAATTTGATCTAAATCCACTATCAAAATAACAAATTTTCCGTTTTTAAGCTCCGAATGTATTACAAAAACTACTTCGATAAAATGTAAACAAAAGTTTGTATTTGTATACGAAATGGTAGCGAGTTTTTAACCGAATTTATGACAAGTGATAGATTATATCCCGAAAACGTCAACGCAATAAAAGCTGCGCGTCTTTTTCCCGCCCAGGGAGTGTCATTACTGCTAGAATACTTATACTGGGGTCAAATATCACCGCGCTATGTGTGGATTTTGTTGATCTGCTTTGTTCTTCCAGTTTAATATATAGTTTTTGTTATATAATCGGCATCGAGGCCGGCGTCTTCTATTGTCTACCTTTTTTAACCATCCTGTACATGTGTCGTTCTGGTTGGCGTCGAATAAAAGTGTTAAGATAATTTCAAGTTTCCATTTGTTCTGAAAGTAAAAGGCCAGTAGGCCTAAGTTATTATTGTAAGCCAGCGAAGATATATGTATATATATGTTTGATGAAAATTATTAAAAGTGTATTAATAAAGATTGTTCTAAATACTGTTCAATTTATGATTTCACCAGAATCTGAAGTCTCCATTAGATCTTCAACAAAAAGTACCTACCTCTCGGTCTTGTAAATCGTTTCTCTGATAATGTACCTACAGATTAGTTTTTTTTACCCTTTTTTTGTAATAGTAATAACTTTAAAAATGCCTATCGAAAACCATAACATTTTCATAGGTATAAATCCTTTAGTTAGTCCAAAAATGGATTAAAATTTAAGTTATTCAAATAAAAAGACTTGGCTCATTGTAAACTTTGTATTGCAAACATATATTATGTAACTGTCATATTTAGTACAAACATTCGATCTGTGATATTTTAAGATAAACTTACCGAATTTCATCTAACGTTATTTTATCAAATGTTTCATTGTAAACATACTGTAGGGATACCAAGACGTTTTTCTATTTTTTTTTTTTTTAATTATCAAGTCAGAAATCGAAAATAATGATTACAAAATTAAAAAAGTATTTATTAAGTGACACTTTCAGTATCAATATTTATTACAGATGATTTTCTTTGTGCGTATTGTAAAATAAAACCAAAAATGGCAGACAGAAGGAAAAGTCCACCTCCAACTAGAAACGGAATTTTATAAGAGTGTGTCAAGTCTAGTAAAACACCAGCCATTGGCGCACCCAAGAGTGTTGCGATTCCTCTAAACAACTGAATTATTCCAAATCCGTTAGTAAGTTTTCCTATTCCTAGGAGATCCACCAGAATTATCGGAGTTAGAGCCGAATATGCAGCTAAAACATTCATTAATATTTAATTTAATTTCGTGGTACATCATTTTCAAAAACTATCGCAGCTGAATGTGTTGATTTACATAATTAGGTATATGACGTAAAAATAATCAGGTCAACATTACGCGTCACGTGACTAAAAGAAGCGAAATATTAGGGTCCAAAAAATTATAAGTTTTTGTTAATGCGACTTGGATTTTTCTTCCGGCTATTACGCCAGTTGTTTGGGCAGTAAAAGGGAAACAAGTGAACCAGTTTTCTAAAAAATATATTAAGTGGTTCGTTATAGTAGAATAGCAATCGACACGGAGTAATATATCTGTCAGCTCAGGAAATTAATGAAAATAGAAATTCGAAAAATATAACCCATTAATCAAAATTCTCGCTCCCAAACTTATCGGCGCCCAAACGTCCCGCGTCAAGATGGCCGCGCCCTAGTCCGGCTCCGATAAAATCATCATTTAAAAATATGTTTTTTTGAATATGATATATGAATATGTATTATTGAGTATTATTTCGGTATGTAGGTGCTTTACACTATATTTTTTAAGTTATTTGCAATTGTTATGTAAATGGTAGTTATTTGTGTGAGTAAATTAACAACAAGGTATATAAAAAATAGTTTACAAGAATTTGACTATTAGGTATACCTACATTAAATTGTTTAAATCGTTATTCATCATTGACTTCTTGGAAATTTTTGATGTTAAGGTGAAATTTATTGACAAGTGGAGAGAAAGATTTCAGCTTAGATTATAGAAAGTAATCTGAGGGTTCAAAAATCTATAAATGTGAGTATAATTGTATTAAAAATGGAAATGGGATAAATCCTTAGATTATAGGTTCAGGATGTGAAATATACTCCAAATTCTTAAACCTAAACATAAAATGTGCCAGTGTCGTTCAAACAGAGCTAACGGAGATTCTCATGGCAGCAAAAGAAATAACCAGTAATAATATCACTGGAAGGAACATGCTCATCTATACAGATAGCAGAAAAGCACTACTCACCCTAAACAGACCACGAATTTACTCAGAGTTGGTACTAGAATGTCACGAAGCTTTGGCCGAAGTATCCATCAACAATGTGGTCACCTTAAGATGGATCAAAGTTTACGCCACATCGAAAGGTAACCGTCTTGCTGATTCACAAAATCGGTAGTGACAGACCTAAATAAAGAACATTCTCTTCTGAAATTCAAGGAAAGATGGGATGAAACAAGAAACTGCAGAGTTGCCAAGAAGTTCCTAAGTTATCCTGACAACACTGCAGACAGAATCTGCGCCTAGTCACAGGCATTCTGACTGGTCATTGCCAAGTACGGAAGCATCTCCATATCATGGGGCTGTCAGAATCCGCACTCTGCAGAGGGTGCGAACAAGAAGATGAGACCATCGAGCATATCCTTTACGATTGCTCGACGCTCTCATTTATTAGAAGATTTATGTCCGGCGAGTATCGGCTAACACCGGCCGATATAAGAGAAGCACCTCTTGGCGAAAGTGTCAACTACATTAAATCTGTAGGCTTGCGCACGAGCTAGCAGGTGCCTATCATCTTAGGAGGATGCACAATGGGCCTAATGAAGCCTAAGTACCTTGCGGATAACCCACCCTACACACGTTACAGATACAGACTACCATGAAGATATGAACGCTGATGTTTTTGAAGAATATTTTCAGCAGATGATAGAATATTTACCAAAGGGCTCAGTCATATTAATGGATAACGCTAGTTACCATTCCCGTCTAATTGGACGTGTGCCAAATACTTCATGGAAGAAAGATGGTATCATTAAGGGGGTAACAGACAGAATCATTAACCTTCCAAAAAAAAATCAATAAAAATAGAACTACTAGAAATTGTGAAATTAAATAAGTACGTTATGTAGTGGATGAACTTACAAAAGCACATGGTATTGACGTTGTGCGTCTTCCTCCCTATCACTGGACACTAAATCCTATTGAACTGATATGGGCACAAGTTAGAGGATATGTGGGTCGACATAATTCGACATTTAAGTTAAATGATGTAGAAGCATTGTTAAAAACCTCCATACCTCTTGTTACGAAGGAAAACTGGCAAAAGGCAATCGAGCATGTGTTAAACGAAGAAAAAAAAACATGTGGAATCTGAACAAAATCTTGGATGTCGATACTACAGTACCATCTTATCAGTAAATAATGACTCATTAAGTGAATATAGTGATTCAGAGACTTTCACGTTTCCTGATCTTTGAGAGTAGGTAAGCATATCTATTATATATCTAAATGTTATAATCATATTAGTAAAAACGGAGTAGGGTCTGGCGGCGCGGCGTTGAGACCACTCAATTAACGCTGCCAGAAACTAAACCACCAAAAAAAGCTCAAAAGCGTGCAAGACTGCAAAAACGCAAGCAAAACCGGAGCATGTCAAAAAGTGGTGAAAATATTGAATGTACCAAGTTCTTGATATGTTATCACCAAAAAAACACAAAAAACAAAAAATTGGCCTTAGCCAACCATAAAACAATTTTTTTCAGGTTGAGTGGCGAGGGGACCTAAAACAAGCACCCCGGCAGTTTAATTAAAATTATTTAAGTTTAAAATAGTAACAAAAAAAATTATAATATAACCAAATGCCCCCTAATTTTCCCAACCGTGCGCTCATCAGAGTCTTAAAAGATATTAAAATATGGGTAGCCCATTGTTACGTTCCATGAAACCGGGCGGCATAGATACAATTCTTAAGTTCACTACACCTTTTAATTGCCTGCTCTTTAAAATTACAGATTTTGTTTGAGCCGCCTGTGCTGTAAAACTCCCATAAAATTTTGATTTATTACTCCCAGTCTATTACGATTCTACTATAGTTATTATCTTCGAATGAAATGAACAAACTCCATAAAACACCATGTGTATCTCTTATTAATGATGTGAAACCCATTAACTATAGGTGTTTATTAAACATTGTTACCGTTGAATTGTGTGTATCGAATTGTGGTTTAAAAAAAAAGGTATATTTTTGTTGACTTTCTAAATTTTCATTTCGATATGATAAAAACAGTAAAAACAAAAGATAGTAATTAACATATTGGGAGAGGTAAAAATTATGAACAGTAAAATCCGAACATTCTCCCACCCCCTAAAAGTTACATCAAATATTCTAACTAGATTTAAATCGTTGCGGTTCTTTCACAATGCGCCTCTTTCTTGTCATTACAACTTTTCTAGTTTCTTTTATAGGTGCCTTCTCTGGTTCTGTATCTTGGTTAGTACATTTCTTTTGTTCAATGATCTGGGATGTCTTGTTTTTCGAAAATCGTTCTCTAAATTCGTCGCGAGCAGGTATTTCTAACGGATATAATTTTTGAATTAGTCGTAAAACTTCTCCATCTTGCAGTTTAATTCGTACAACACGTATGATTCCATCTTTTCCGGGGATCAGTTGTAGAATTGTCCTTAAGGGCAACCTCAAACGCTTAACTCCCTCTAATCCAACGTGCACTACGTCTCTTTCCATTAGGTATTTTGTCTTTTTTTTGGTAACCAGCTCACATAGATATTGTTTTCTAAATCGGAATCGGAAATCGTCTCTTATTTTTTGTAAATATTTCTGTCTATGCTGTCTATATTAGGTATATCGTTGGTAGCTATATCTTGAATAAATATTCAGGGTTGTTAAGCATTCATCTTCATAAATATAAGTTAAAGGTCTACTATAGATAATTGATTCACAATCACATGTTATGGTCAGAAGTCAGAAGCCATTGCCGTTATTCATGTTAACATTTAAAAAAGATGAAGATAATAAAAGGATTTATGAAATTAACACATTACAGAACCTAATAATCCAAAGTGAGCCAGTGAGAATCCCAAAATTGATACCCTAATGCAAACGGTGCCAAAGATATGGGCATACTATACATTGTTGTAATAGGCAACCAGTGTGTGTTAAATGTGCTTAAAGCCATCTTAAAGAAGAGTGTGATAAACCGGCAAGTGTGCCACCAAAATGCGCAAATTGCAATCAAGCACATCCAGCAAGCTACAGAGGATGCGAAGTGGCAAAGAAGATACAATACAGAAGAGACCAGATAAGCAAAACTAACCACAATAGAAATAATATCCAATTTAGACGACCTATCATTAATAATGCACAAAGAATGGCAAATTTGACATACTCAAACGTGGCTAGTAATAACAAACCTAATCAAATTGAAAACGAATCTTCAACGAACCAAATAATGACTATGCCTAATACAATTCTAGACAAAATGACCAGATTAGAGGAGGCTACCTTCCCCCAAACGTCTATACATCCCTAATGGAACGTAACATGGAATGCCAATGAACTCCTTGACGATCGAGAAAAGCTACAGGTGTTCCTAATAGAACAAAATATAGATATCTGTCTAATATCAGAAACGCATTTAACAAAATAAAGCTATATATAATTTAAAGGATACCAAGTCTATAGTACTGTACATCTCTCGGATACCGCTAGAGGTGGAAGCGCCGTAATAATAAAAGAAAATATTAACCATTATGAATAAGTAACATGTAGGGAGAAACAAAAACTCTGAACTGTTACCATTTGTCCATTTACCAATGAAATATACTATATATTAGGTAAAAAAAGATTTTCGTTTCAAAAAGTAAATATCTAGAGCAGCCATACTCAACCTGCGGCCCCTCCAAGCTTTTTTGCGGCCCGCAACACTGTTATTAAAGTGTTTTTTAAAATTATAGGTTTCTGTTTTTAAAATTTTGAGCGAAAACATGTATCTGTCGCTGCGCTAAATATCACGCTAATTTTTTTAAATAAACGTTTGCCGAGGGGTTACTGCAAGAAACAAGATAATTCCACTTTAGGCATTTTCGAGTTAAGTACAGTGTGAACGAAGTCTATATTCATGATAAACAGATGGTCAATTAAAACTAATTCCATATTTATACATTCACAATATGCACAAACAAGATGAGTGCCATTTATACCGAAACATAATCATAACATTACTAACATTGTATCTACTAAAACCAGATAAGAGACATAACTTATTTTTGCTAAATGTATTTAGTCCGATTCCTAATAGTGTTTATGCCAAACAAGATAAAGACCAGAATATATATTTTTGTTGAATTTACTCGTATTTATTGAAATGGTTCAACATTTTGCCGAAACATTTTCTAATGTTTTGCCTAGAGCCGTCTCTGGCTTTTCTCGACAAATTGATTACGTCACCCTTTCTTTCTTTCTGCGATTCAGCTAACCTTCGAAAACCAATAGATAATAACACGTGATGCTTGAATAGCCGTGATGAACGAGTGATTGGACAAGCTGTAACGAGCGATTTGTCAAGCTGTGTAGCGGTAGCGCCACATGCCCTACATACTTTAAATCACCTTGACGTCAGATAATCCTTTTTTTGACGAGCTTGGTGTGACTTTGATATCAGACAGTCCATGTTTTGACGAACTTTAATTTCGTCAATAACATTTTATTTTGTTATGAAGATGGCACTTCAGAATTTTTCAGAGCGACACATTTCTTGCCAATGTCATGGAACCTAAAAGTTCGATGGCATTGGAAAGGCGGCTTTCGTTTTTGATTTCCTTAAGAAGGGGCAAGCAAACTAGAGACACGAAAGGGAACCAGAAGAAGAAAAACAAAAAACTTAGAAAAACATGATGTTAAAAAAAATCGAAGCATTATTTTTTGATTTTTATTTAACAACCTTGTTGAATTCATTTTTAAATAAACCTAAGGAAAAACTAAAACAAATTGTCTTTTATAGGGAACTAGCTACGACCTCTGTAAGCTGTACCGAGCGAGGAGGGTAGGGTGCAAAGGAATGAAAGGGTAAAAAAACTCTGAACACTTACAAAAAAGTGCAAGAAGAAATATTAACTTAAACTTTGCAAATCAGGTGCTACACCTAATGAATATCACCAATATTATTACAATCTACCTGTATCCAATAATTTTAGGTACCGTACCTGCATCTTCCATTAAAGATAGTGACACATACATTGAATATTATGACCTGTATGTATAATTTTTTGTTCAATTTTAAACTTTTGAACAGCGTTTTCTCGAATCTCTAAAAATGTAAGTTATCTTGTTCTTGCAGTAACCCGACGGGATATATTGTTTAGTGTTTTTTTATTAGAGGTCCCCACTAACTAATTTTAAGTGAATGGCCTAAAAAAGAGTCATCATCCAAAAATATTGCGGCCCGTATAACATAGCAAACGTAAGGAAAAAAGGTTGAGTATGACTGATCAAGAGATACCTCTCGGCTATGTTATTAACAAGCACCATTTTGACGAACTGAGAGGATGGGTGTCCCCAGACACCTTTCGGAAGCAAACATCAGGTTTTTGATGAGCTTAGAGAGAGTGGTCCTATATGTCCCTAGAGGATCTCTCTCTGTGGCGGATGGACAGAATAGTTCCACTCGGGTAGGCTTTTTGACTAGTTGCTATATGCCCCTGGAAAATGCCCAATGAGCCTAGTGTGGCCTAAGTACTGTGAGGACAACTCACTCTCCCTCACCTTTCAGATTAAGTGATAATATCAATTGTGGTAGCGTTGACATATATATCCAAAGTATTGGTTTAAATTTAATCAAAGTGTTTTTTATTTTAAATTATCGATCTTTCGAAATAAACTTACGCGTGAGCACATGTACGATAATGCTGCACCTGATTATTTATATAAAGTCTTTCGGTATGACAGAAGTGAATGGTATAACTTATCGGTAGAATACTTTCGGAAAAAGTAATGTCATTTTTAAGGTTCTCAAAAAATTACTTGTTTTATTTTAAAAAATTTATTATTACCTATGGAAAGCCCAAAAAAGAAGGAACTAAAAATATAGGCTATATAACTTTGACAATATGGCATCAATCCAACGGATACTGCTCCAATAATCAGGAATATATTGTTGACGAAAACGGAATCAATCATTGGAAAGTTTACAATGTATCCAAAAATAATACGTGCCACTGTATTTACTATTCCTATCACAGATATTAAAAATGACGCTTGTCCAGCTTGTATATTCTAAAAAAAAACATAATTAAGTATTTGGGAAGTCTTATATATTCTAAAAAAAAACAATTAGGTAATGAAGAACTCTGGCTTTAATTTATTAAAGAGCTGGGATTGTTATCTAGTTGGTACCTATATATAGTCATAGTCAGAGAGTTAATGAAGAATTTGGTGAAAGTGTTTCAGGCAATTTGAAATTATAACAAGTATTAAAAGTAATTTTAAAAAACCGACTTCAAAATTGTGCAGATTCCATCACCACATCTTAACCAAATTTATATGGGGCCACCCCTGAAGTACCCCCTTTCTAACAAAGAAAAGAATCATTAAAATCAGACACTGTGTTAAAGAATTATCGCTGAACATACCTACATAAAAAAAATATTACAACGAATTGAGAATCTCCTCCTTTTTTGAAGTCGGTTAAAAAATCAGTAAATATCTTAATTAATGAATCTGGAATCGAGAGTCTGCAAGAGTATTTGCGGTTATTTTGTTACTGCGCAGCATATGACATTTGTAACAAGTGAATATCAAAAAATATGTTTTAAGCAACTTTGAATTATTTTAATTTTGTATTTTAGCTTTTATAGAAAGAAACTAGAAACAAAAATTCCACATTGTTTAGACGATTTTGAAGACATATTTTAAGTCTTCATGTCATACATATATAAAATCTGTCTATAATCTTGACTAGAATCCAAAATTAAATGAAAAAATTCCGGCCAACGGTGGGATTCGAACCCGGGGCCCTTGGATCCACAGGCAGAGGCTCTACCACTGAGCCACCCACCCCATAGTTAATATTGTTAAAAATATTTTTATTATCTTACAATACATGTAGGTTATTCAGGAATTTTTATCATTAAAACTATAAGTTTATGGTAACTGAAATAAGGAACATAAGTTTGAGACTTGATATCCTCTAAATAGATTACAGAATTTCTTGATTCGGTCGCCGCGCTCAAAGCCCGCGATAAAAGCTATTTTGGACACTGTAGCTGATACAACTTCAATAAGCACTCGAATATTAGCCGCGCAGCTTCATGTGTCAAAAACGACAATTACTAAAGTACTTAAAGAACAGTTGTTATACCCTTATCATCTGCAAAAAGTGCATCAACTACTTCCTGAGGTTTTTCCTCGAAATATCCAGTTCGCAAACTGGCTGTTAGAACAGCAACGAACAAACGGAAACTTAATTAGAACTATTCTTTTTACCGATAAAGATGGTATTGTAAATTTACATAACTCGCATGTATGGGCTGATAAAAACCCTCATGCCACTGTTGTTCATCATTATCAACATCAGTTCCAATCAATTAATGTTTGGACAGGAATAACTGGCAATTTTTTGATTGGACCATGCGTATTGCCGCCACGATTGAATGGTGAACTTTATTTACAGTTTCTTCAGAACGCTTTTCGAAACCGTTGGATAGGTAGAGGAGGTCCAATTGCCTGGCCTCCACGGTATCCCGAAGTAACGCCAATTATATTGTTTTTTTATTTCAATTTATTTATTAATTTAATTTTGTTGGCAACATTGGCCTTATTGTGTTGTCTATTGTCACCGATATAATAATTTTTATCAATTCGAAATTTTCTTGTTTGTGATCATTAAATTTGTTTATTACTTATAGTGTAGGATAACTGTAATATAGACTCTCGATTCCAGATTTATTGCCATAGATACTTACTATTTTTAGTAATTTTAAATTGCCTAAAACACCTTCCCCAAATTCGTCATCAGCTCTTAGTCTAATACTAGAGGTTACACTAGCCCTGTTGGTCACTGATGTGAACCTGTATTTACTGCCCTTTTGGCTTACTGCAAATTAAAAATTGATTAGATAAGGTACTTACTTTGGTTTTAGCATAATCCACCATATATATTAAAGGAATATAAAACGATATCATGGCGAATATATTTCCTAATCCAAACAGCAAAAAATTTCTGTCTTTTAATAAATCTAAATCTATTAATAAATTATCATTTGATGTATTCGTGGGATTCCCTAAAAAAATTAAGTAGTTAAAGTCTAGACCGCTTGCTATAACAAAAAGTCAGTTTTAAAAGCTTGAAATCGACTTTAACTTTGAAAGTTTTGTACAGGGTGTTTTCAAAGTTGGTCATTTATTTTAACAGCTTGTAGAACTCGTCAAAAGAAGTCGATATACCAAAAATCACCTAAATAAAAGTTGCATAATAAGGGAGTTATAGGTTTTTTTAAAATTAAAAATATTCATTATCGGTAAAATGTATTTCCATTTTTAACCGACTTTAAAAAAGGAGGAGGTTATCAATTCGTCGCGATATTTTATTTTTTTTTTATGTATGTTCATCGATTATTCTTTAACACGGTGTCCGATTTCAATGATTCTTTTTTTGTTAGAAAGGGGGTACTGCAGGGATGGTCCCATATAAATTTAGTCAAAATATAATAATTGGGTCCATGAGAAAATCCTCAAACTCTTCATTTTTTATGTATGTTTAGCGATAATGCTTTACCACCTTGTCCGATTTATATGATTCTTTTTTTGTTAGAAAGGGGCTACTTCAGGGGTGGTCCCATATAAATTTGGTCAAAATCTAAAAGTTGGGTCCATGAGAAAATCCTCAAACTCTTCATTTTTTATGTATGTTTAGCGATAATGCTTTACCACCTTGTCCGATTTATATGCTTCTTTTTTTGTTAGTAAGGGGGTACCTCAGGGGTGATCCCATATAAATTTGGTTAAGATGTGGTGATGGCATCTGCAAGTTTTTGAAGTCGGTTTTTTTAAATTTTTAATTTACACTTGTTACAAAAATTGTTCAAAATTGTCACCATTTGTCCGATTAATGCATAGTCTTGCTCGGCGTACCCACAACTCCTGACAGGCCTCAAAAATATAACCATTACACAAGCATTTACAATGCGGTCTTGAAGTTCTTCCACAGTATTTACTTCTCCATCATGATACACCAACTGTTTTAAATAACCCCACAGAAAAAAATCACAAGGCGTTAGGTCCGGGGAGCGTGCAGGCCAAGAAACGGGTCCATTCCTCCCTATCCATCTATTCGGAAACTGTTCATTCAAATATTCACGAACTCCTCTTCTGAAATGCGGTGAAGCTCCGTCATGTAGAAAACACATATCCTGCCTAACATTCAGTGGAACATCTGCTAATAATTCTGGCAGATGGTGTCGAAGAAAATCTAAATAAATGTCACCGGTTAGCCGAGGTGGAAAAAGTATGGTCCAATAAGCATGCCATTTACTACACCAGCCAACACATTTAATGAAAATTTATGTTGGAAATTAGATCTTCTTACGGCATGCTAATTTTCTACTGCCCAAACATGATTGTTGTGAAAATTGAATATCCCATTTCGTATAAATGTGGATTCGTTTGTAGCTAAAATTATTTTGGTAAAATCTTCATTTCTGTTCAACTGTTGTAAAATTCAACTCTTCTAGGATGATCTTCAGGTTGTAATGCTTGTACCCGTTGATAATGATAAGGATAATATTGTTCCTGTCGTATTGTTTTCCACACTTTACTATGGGAAACATCGACTTGAGTTGCTATGGCTCTAGTACTTATTTTTGGGTCATCTTCCACCATTTTCAAAATATTTTCCTCAATTTCTACCATTGCAGGTGGAGCAGGTCTTCCAGCGTGATCCCCTCGTTGTTCTTTCAAGTATCCTGTCTCAAGAAGTAGAATAACTAAATTTACAAACATCCGTGGAGCCGGATGATTTCTTAATGGAAACCTTTCCGCGTAAAGGTGACATGCTGCGGCTGCATTTGTTGGCACTCTCCGTATGTTAGTATTATGTCCACTAGTTCATTGTTTCCATAAACGTGGGCCATTTTTCCGTACAAAATATCAAAAAAATTAAAGTGATACGAACTAAACGCTTAATACCAATAACTAACCGAAAATCGTTCTCAAAACCGTAAAACAAAAAAAGATAAGTAAAATTGTCGTAGTAAACAAACAACGATAAGTTTTTACTTGGCAGTGGTCAGGAATATTAAAATATGCGGATAAATAGTTTGTATTTGTTTTAGTTTTAAAATTTTGAAATTCCTTTTTATTTCTTTTAATATGCAACTTTTATTTAGGTGATTTTTGGTATATCGACTTCTTTTGACGAGTTCTACAAGCTGTTAAAATAAATGACTCAACTTTGAAAACACCCTGTATATATGGTTGTAAAGTTTATTAAAAGAGTACGCCAGATTTATTTGAGAATTGTTATGTTGAAGTAAGCTATGCAAAAGTTAAATTCGCACTGAATTTGAAGTGATGAACGCTGGTGGTTAGGGAAACCCAATGAGTATTATATATTTTTCGGGTAGGTATATATAATTGAGGGAAACCGGAAAATATTTGGTTGTACCCACTGAACTCCCCACCAATGGAACGCTACACGATCCTGACGACTTAAGGTATATTCATACTATAGGTCCGGTCACGGTCAGATCACGGTCCAGTCAAATATTAGAATACGCAATTTGTATTAAAGTATTCATATTACTCTGCACGGTCAGGTAACGATCTAGTCAATTGACCGCGCTCTTTCTTTCTGCGAATATTTTGAACTTTTTCTGTTGATGTTTATGGGATGCACCCAGAAACCCCTTAATTATTTTTTTGGAGCTTTCGCTTCTCTCTTCATCATCTAGGATGTAAACCATTATGGCCAGGTCTCTTGTTGAAAACTTTGAAAACATTGCTTGTTTAAAATTAACTGACAAAAGACTGATGAGCGACCGCAACAGCGTGAATAGTTCATAAAAAAACCTGACCGGACCGTGACCAGACCTATAGTATGAATCTACCTTTAATCAAAAATTTCACAGCTCTAGGTCTGTTCGAGTTCTTCAAAAATACATTGGGAACTATCAGAGGACTAGTTGACCAGTGGACAGTTTAATTGTTATATGCGACGAATAATTTGGAATTGCACTGTTCCACTGGTTCTCGGATGGGTTGCATCGAGTTTTAAAGAAACTCGAACAAACCTTCTGTGATGTTTAGCGGCAATACAACGCATGCGCATTACGGAATTTTTTAAGAAACTACATCGAAAATTACACATTTGTATTATTGGTTGCCTATATCAATTATCAGGACTGGGTCGCTTTCTCCTTTTATTTTCTTATCTTGAACTTGCTTACTCTAAAATAAATTTTAAAGCTGCAGCGGAGATTTTTGTGATTTTTCTATGGCGTTTAATTGTATCAATCATACAGTATTGTTGCAAAAACTTCGAGTTTACAGAATCTAAAACGAAAAGCTGATAAAATCTTACCTTTCAAAACGTATCCCAACAAACATTAAGTTAACGGCCTTTAAATGTACAAACGTTACTTTCGTTGCACAGCTAGCATTGGTAGGTCGACTTTTTGTCACAACGGGCGGCAGAAGGCCGTCGTCACTTTACCAGCAATAAGTAGTGAAATGCCTCCACTTTGTTAGCAGTTTCCCATAATATTAATATTAACTTTCCCTTAAAGGGTTCGCCCAAGGCTATTATAAAAATGAAGCGGACTTTTAGAAATTAAAAAATTGTAATCCTCAATTTTAGCACTCTCTTGAAGGAAAAAAGTGTCACGTAATCAAAATATGACATCTCATTTGCTCGCTAATTTTCTTAATATTTTAACCACTGATCTGTATTATACAAATCAGTGATTTTAACACTATACATGAACCCTAACCTAAATGTTTCCATATTACACTTGTAACAAAATAAAGTTAGTATGTAATGCGTTTAGAAACCTCGCCCGGCGCGTCTAGACATTTCAGAAATCGTTCATAAAGTTAGGTAAGAAGTGACATGACACCGTTCAAAAATTACGTTCTGGTTACAACTTTACGTCCTTCTAAAAAGCTAGGTGTTTGGGATGTGTCACGCGCACAACAAATATTTGTTGGCGGGAATTTCGTGTTATATGATATGTTAGGTTATGTTACATGGTATTTTTTTAAATTGTTTTCATTTTAATAGGTAATATTTTACTATTAATTATAATTCCTTGTGTATACAGTAATTCAAGCTGTACAAACATACTATAAATTATTTTTTAAATAGACAGCTGAAGATGAGAAAAGTGAACTCGTAGAACTGCTGTTTTTTCTAGCCATAAATAGGTTTCGAGTAAATCTTAGAGTACCTGTAACGGTGTAATCAAAACTCTACATATAGGTACTGCATTTTAATCTCATTTTAGAGACCCACCTTCCTTTGCCGTTGACACGAACTATTAAGCAATATTAAAGAATGGTGACGTAATGGAAATCGTTCAGAAATACTAGGTAAAAATACAATTTGTTTCCTAAAAATGTTACACCCTGTCTCGTTGTACGTCCTGGCATTCTAAACGCACCCCTGAGTTAGTGCAGGAGTAAATTTTGGTCACATGGCATCGAAGTCAAAAGAGTTCATCGTATCACTTTGAACGCTACTTCTGTTTACGAGTATGGAAATAATAATAAACATAACCTTACATAAAATAATATTCTTATTTTTATGTTTACAATTGAAATAAATTAATTAATGTGAATTGTAAAATTTGCAGTAGAATATGATTTTACGATAATGAGAGAAAACATTTATAATTTTGCCGAAAACTAATTTGAATATGATGATCAATTTGTATTTACTTTTCGTCTGAAACCAGCACCTTCTGATCTTTCATAGAGAAATATTCTCTTCAATAAGCAAAATTTTAATGTTTTCTGGTATTATACCATTGCAGCATTGTGTAGATATTTCCATAATTATTCCAAATTGAAAATCAAAATAGAATTTAACCTACAAATTCACAACGTTAAGGAAAAAAACGCAAAACAATGAACGGCCATCGTTACTACGCACTACTTGCTCCTAAGTCACCTCTCGCCGAGGTGGTGCAGGATAATTTACTCCAAATACTCTGCTCCGCTACATTTGAACATAATAGAGTTAATGCGGGTCTCTTGTTGAGTATAATTTGAACGCGGCTGATAGAGTAACTCCGCGTACGCAGAGTGAAAATTTTCCAATAGACATCCATTTGTGTCACTAAATGTTTCAATAATTTACTCATAAACTGTTTAGATTAAATTATTTTCCGCCTGATAACATTCTCAAGAAACCCCGTAATTTTGTACCAGAAATTCCCATTTTTGAACTTTTGCGAGAGCCCCGTATTTCAAAATATTTCATTGTTTACTGAAATTCGAATCCAGCTTTAAACGTTCAAATTCAGGTAATCTATCTGGTCTAAGAAACCGATATTTTGTTAAAGAAGGGAGGTACGTCGGGAGATACTGCTAAGCTTGAGCTTGCTATCAGTGTTTCTACTACCATCAAAATCCCGTTATAGGTATGAAAAGGAATATACTTTGTTTGAAAACTGGTGCCAGAATAAGGGAATTAAAACTTTTAAGGAAGACTTTTTTTGGCTTATTTTGCTGAAATTTCCAAAACATGCAAGCCAAACACTCTTTGGTCCAGGTACTCAATGTTAAAAAGTGTAATTAAACTCAAAAAAGATGTCGATTTAAGCAAGTTTTTCAAGGTCACGGCATATATAAAAAAACAAAAGATTTAGACCAAAAAAGGCAAAAATTTTCTCAAAAATTAAATTTTTAAGTTTATAAATGAGGCCCCTGACCAAATTTATCTTAATATAAAAGTCGCTACGATTTTTGGTTTGGCGGGCTCATGTAGGCGAGACGAAATAACAAAAATGTCTTTAGATTATATTGATGACAAAGGAAATATTTTATTGATAAATATCCCAGATACAAAAAACCACTCTTTCAGAAGCTTTGCGATTTCTGAGGAAGCTGAAAATGGAAAATTGCTTAAGTTGTTCAGAAAGTATGCGAGTTTAAGGAAGCCTGAAACCCCACATAAGCGATTTTTCGTGAAATATAAGAAAGGAACTTGCACTATACAATGTATCGGAATAAACACCTTCGGAAAAATGCCATCAGAGATTGCAAGTTACCTGAACCTTCCAAATCCTGAATTATATACGGGCCACAGTTTCCGACGTTCCGCCGCCACAATGCTTGAAGATTCCGGAGAAGGAATAACAAATATTAAACGCCTCGCTGTCGCTGGCCCTTCCACTAGTCAGCAGCTGACTAGCCTCTCAAAAAGACCTCTTCCAGCCAAGTTCCTATCGCCACGGCTGCAACAATTAGTGCTGACAAAGCAGTGAAAAACCGAAATCTGACTTCATTGGAAAACCTTTTAGCCTCAATATTAATATTAGGAATAATTAATTTGTTGATATGTATTTAATAATAAATGTTTCTTTATGTTAACTTTTGGGTTTTTTCCGCACGCTAGTAGAAAAAATAGTGTACCTAACACATGCGTATAGTGACATTTCCGTACGCGATTGCTGGCCGAACTCCGCTATTTATACTACTATATTTATTTGTTCATTTAAGAATCAATGTTTCTGTTTCGTGTATTTTTATTAAATGTCTTTTTTTTTAGTCTAATAAAAATATTACAGTGTAATATGACATTCATTTTGCATTGATATGCCAGAAACATTTTAAAAACGTTTTTACAACGTTTCATGATATTAATGAAACAAAATTAGAATACATTTCTAAAATATTACTAATATTACTAATATTACTATGTAATGTAATAGTTCTGAAAGATATCAAATTTTTATTTCATAAATATTACTGTGAAATAATAAATTTAAATTTTTACTTTTCAGGCACATTTCAGAAATGTTTCTGGGACGTTTTGTAATATTTATAAAACATTACAAATATTTCAATGTATAATTTTTGAAATATTTCCGAAATATTTTTGGGCTTACCATTTGATTTAATTCTAAAAGAAAAGATTTTATCAACGCTTCGTCCTCAATTCAAAGTTTTTGTAAAAATACTATATGACAGAATCAAACGCCTAATCACAGAATATCTCCGGTAGGCTTCATTAAAATACATTTGTGGTAAGCAAGTTCAAAATAAAAAAATATCGTAATAAAAAATAATAAAAGGCGGGCGGAGGAGGCGATCCAGTCCTAATAATTGATATAGGCAAGCAATAAAGTATATGTCTAATTTTCGATGGATTTTTTCCAAAAACTCCGTAATACGCATGCGCTATATTGCCGCTAAACATCGCATAGCAGTGCAATTTTTGATAAGGTCGACAGGATCGTGTAGCATTCCATATTATATTTAATTATGGTAAAACGTACTTTTAACAAGTATAATACTTACTTGGTCGAGGAATATTATTTTGTATTAGGGTCCCCGAATAACAAAGTTCCTTTCTTAATAACATTAAATTTTTTCGTGTAAATTCATAATACTCTGCCACATTCGATTGGCTTCTATGTCTTCTTTCACCTAATGTATGGCTGTTTCTGTGTTTGTAAAGCCTGCTTTTTGCCTTGGTGGGAATTGAAACCTATATAAGTATATTTATTTAAAATATCTAAAGGGATATAATTACGTACTTCAGAAAGTAAAATAATTGAACATTGAAGTTTATATCTCATCTTGTTCTGTTCAATGTAAATATAGCAAATATTAGGTAAATAACAGTACATGTTTGGAGTTTTGATTAATAAACTAGGTACCTATGTGGTGTTGGTAAAAAATGTATTAGCAGGGAAAAACAAATGTTGAACTTCAATATGATTGCATAAACTTAATAGGGAAACAGTCTTCCATCTTTATACCAACGGGAACTATCTAGCCGATGAGACAATATGAAGCTGACGGTGCGTCGCCTCCTATGGAAAATTTTCCAATAAAAAACGAGTAACCACAGCTGCACTATTAGATGGCGATGAAGACGAAAACACCCGAAGAATACAAATGAGCTATTGGCTATATACATAGGAAACTACTATTTTGAAAGAAGGAAAGACTGTAGGTGGATTCTGGACAACTGGAAAGTTTACCTTTGCAAAAGACCAATTGTTGCTACATTGGTAAAATCCAAGATTTTGCAACTGGTTCAGTAGTGAAATTAGGATATGGTTTCAGAGCAAAACTTCTTATTAAATTGTGATGAGTATTTAGACTTTCATTTTAATATTATTAAAATTGATGTGATAAATGTAGCTTACATCAACAGCACTTTTGCTTTCTTCATTTTTTTTCAACTGAGATTTTACCGGAAAATAGTTATCGGTTACGGGTTTATATTTCAAAGGCTTCATTAATAGCCCAAATAGAGTGCAACATAGCGCACTTGCCGCTAAACTCAAGTTAGCGACCCTCCAATCGTAAATATGTAGGAGATGGTTGACCAATGGTGGAAAAATGATAGTACCGAATCCCGAACCACTTAAGGAGATACCTAAAATAATAAAATAAAGTTTCTTTTTGCAAAGTAGAATAATTTCTGTAGATTTATAGTTGTTTATTCTGTGATTATTTACCTGTTGCTAGAGCTCTTTTGGACTCAAAATAATACCCAACGAAAACTATCGACGGCAATAATATTAATCCTAAACCAATTCCTGCTCCACAATAAGTGGTCATCAATAGCGGTACATTTGTACAGAATACTGACAGACTTAATGCTGCTGAAGTTATTAGACTACCTAAAATGATAAATAATACTGTACGTGTGTCTTATAAATAGCGAAATGCAAAGTATTGGGTTCATTAGACATTACTAGTGGCAAAGAAATTGTGGACTGTATAGTGACTCTTATAAATAATGTAATTATTGAAAAACATTTTACCTATTGCGCAAGTTGTTCGACAACCAAATTTATTAGTCAAAACACTAGCTATCGGTCCAACTAGTAAAGGAACTCCAGCCAAAATCGAGCCAACCCAGGCAATTTTTCCTTCGGATACTTTAAATTCTTTGACAAATTCTGACAGAAATATACCAAACGAATTTATGACTCCATCGACTACCGTTATGGCAAGAAAAGAGACTGCTACAATAACCCATCCGTATCCACCATCTGGAGCATCGTACTCACTGGTTTCTGATGATTTTTGTAACCTTTCTGAATTGCGGGTTTCACTTTCTAGAATACTTATTTCTTCGGGAATTACCTGGAAAAAAAATTTGAATGTAGGTACATGGTTACATTCAACTGCCTCTACACTCCATAAAAGGAACATAGCATCATGTATAAAATAGTAGGTAATATAAAAACCTTATGAAATTAGGGATTCGCCTCCCGATAAATCTTGTTTCCTTATTTAGTGCAGATAACAAGAAGATTTTAGATTGTTTAATTAATTACATTGAGTCTAAAAATCACTATTTAAAAATAAACCAAATAAACATGCTAATAGACTAGTCTGGAGCCAATCAGCCTCCCTAAACACACAAACACATATAAATGCACTATCATCGCATTTTTATCCACCCTCATTGACCTACATTTTTTAAAAAAACGGGCCGTCCTCAGAATACATTTTTTAACAACTTTTTAATCAATTCGATATTTCTTCATTTATAATATCCAATAATCACGTTAATAAATAACTTATAGCGAAAGTACCATACCCCCATTGGACTAGGAATTTGTTTTTGAAATGGGCAATGGCCAAATACATTAATGACTCACAATAATTATTTTGGTATTATTTCGATGTCTGCCTATTTCTTTATTTTGGTATCTATCGATTTTTGTCCATTTTTTATTACAAATAAACATATATAAATGCATTATTATTGCAGTTTTAGCTACCCCCATTGACCTTGAATTTTTCAAAAAAATTGGCATATTTCAGTGTTAAAAAATGACAAGCACTCTTTAACAGATACATGATCCACCCGTATAAATAATGTATAGTAAACAAGAACAACAATATATTTTATTATTCAATCTCTACATTGCATTACCTAAGTTAAACATATCACACAAATCAAAGACAACCCTGGCAGATGCAGGAATGCAGTTTAACGTATTTCAAAGTTCCAACAAAAACATTTTGTGGACACCTGCAATATACCTAACAGCGCAAAATATAATTTTCTCACTCACGGAAAATTTTGAGAAATTAAATACAAGGGCAACTCTCTGCAAAATTGTTACTTGTAAATTTTTAAAAGTTTGATTGATAGGCGAATATGATTTTTATTGATAAATTTCCAAATTATATCTGAATTCATGAATATTTTGAGAAATATCTCGAGTTAAAAACAATGGATAATTTTCAAAATATTCCTAAGAACAGATTATATTAATTTTTAATTTATTCGAAATATTATAAAAGTAACCTTTATTATTTTGATAATTTCAAATCCTAATATACTAACACCCCATTCTAATCACGCCCCACTCTAATCATGCCCCAACCTAGAGATCCGCCTACAAATACAAGTCAACGACATTTTTCAAATTAAATTTTAATTTGAGCGTTATTGTGAAATGGGAAAAAGAAAATTATCGTATCAGAGAAAGTCTCATTCTGTCTCAAGCAAAAGGTAAGTTTTAGTATACCTCTTATATCTCGTATTATATTGTTAATTTTTTAATATTACCACAAATGTCTTTTCGACAATACTCAGCTCATATGAATTGGTAAGTAAAAGTATTTTTGAAGCAACTTGGAAGGCCATGGAACAAGCAGGACTGGAAGAATTCGATTAGCAAAAGATATTGGAGAACAAGAAAATTGTCTAATTGGCAGTGATTGTTGACGGTGCATGGTCTAAGCGGTCATATAAAGTGAATTATAAGGCTTTATCTGGAATTGTAAGTTTATATTTTAATATTATAACGTGTGATCCTAAAACAATGTTTCTAAAGTAAGCCATGACCGAGTTTTGGAATTTAATGCAAATGAAGTAAAAATATTTTTTGACAATTTTTCATCGGTATTTGACAAGTATAATTTTAGTCCAAACAGGATTTACAATGTTGATGAAATAGATGTGACGAATTTTCATACTCCAGGTCGTATATTAGCTGTCAAGGCCAGAAGCAAGTTGGGGAAATAAGTGGAGAAAGAGGAAAGCTAAACTGCATATTCAAAATGCTCCGCTTACGATCGGGTTTACTATAATATGGACAACCATTCAAGCCATGGTACACTGACAGTATTTGGAATTATCGTTCTTACGTTACCACCCCACACATCTCACCGCTTGCAGCCTCTTGATATATGTTTCTACGGCCCTCTTAAAATAGCCTAAAATCAAGAATGCGACAACTTCATGAAGTCTAATAATTATCAAAGAATTCAACAGACTGATATAGCTGAAATATTTAAAAAGGCTTATAACAGAACTGCTACAATAGAGAAAGCTGCAAAAGGGTTTAAGTCAACTGGTATTTATCCCTACAATCCCAATGTCATCTATCCAGAGGAACTGACACCACACGAGGAGAAGCAGCAAGGAGGTAAAGTTAAAGGTGAAGACAACAATTCGGAACATAAAAACGCAAAGAAAAATAAGAAAACTGTAGCAATGGAGATTAACTATAAAAATCCAAGACCTGAAACATCGAGCGACCATAAATCTCAAACTGTGAGATCAAAAAAATCGTTGTGTCGGCTAATAATTCACCAGAATCTTCAGAAGATTGTCAGTCTGATCTTGAAATGGTCCCAGATTGCGATGCCACAGATGATGAAGATACAACTATAAGACCAAGAGTTTCGTTTGTTGAGTTGTTGTCAATCCCAAATACCAAAAACACTTACAAATTTTCTCCGTCACCCCAAATAGAGGAGATCTGGAATCAAAGGAAAAAATAAAACTAAGAAAATTAAGTCTTGCTAAAAATGAACAAGTGAACATAAATGTGACCGGAGTAAATGTAGAAAATAAAACGAAAAATAAGGAAAACAATAAATCGAAGAAAATAATAAAGCAACAAGAACTTGCCACGGAGCCGTGCAACATCTCTGAAGAATTTGGAAAAGATGGCGAGTAGTGGGTTACTTGCAGCAGCTGTGCCAAATCTTCACATGTTGCATGTGCTGGTTGTGACATTAGTAAACCCTATACTTGTGATTTTTGTTGATAGAATGTTTTTTCTTTAATAGTGTTTATTTTTTGTTGTATTATGATATGGTCGGTATTAACCTAACTTTACGAGAAGTTCCGACCGAAACGTTTTTCAGTATTTTTTTAATTCAAGTTAATTTTCCTTTATTGTACATTATTTCAATAAAAAGTAGGTTGAGGGATGTGTTTGTTGATAAGTGCCAGCGAAAGATTAACCAAAATTCACAAAAATAGTCTCCGAATTCGAAAATGTTTGTTACCTGGTCGGAAATTCCCTAATCTCCTCTACTTTTTGTTGTCTTTTCATTACTTTAATTTTTTTTTAACGCTATTTGATGGACAAACGAAAACAGATGTTGGGCAAAAAATTACTTTGGGCACCCGCTGGAAATGAAGAAGAATAATAATAATAATAACATGAAAATATACAATAACAGTAATTTATGCGAGGAAAAACATTTAAAAATGATGAAAGGGCGAAGTTCAGTTTTCACTGTTTTTCAACTTAACCTAACAAAAAAAATACATATTTAAATCGTGGAAAAAATAAATAAAAAATATACAGGTTAGGTATTTATTTTTTTTTTAGCCAAATTAATTTATAAATTCAATATATCAATATTCATATCCTACAAGTTGCCATGAATTGTTGTTAATAATTGTATTACTTATGGTTCTATTCTTAGATACTTTTTTAGACGCTTCTTAAAATTAACTAAATTGTAGGATCTAATTTCTGGCCCAAGTTTGTTATATTCTTTGGATGCTACATAGATTAGATTAGGAGTTGGACGTTATTTGTCCTTGTCCACCGCGACCTTTTCAGATCTATTGTGGGACTCCGTTTGTTTTAGAGTATGTCGTCTAGCCTGGTCTTTTTTATTAGACTTAGTAGCTTTGACAGTGGCTCCCGCATGTAGTTGCATGCAATTGGCTTTTCTTCGCCCAATGTTAGAAACCTCATTCCAGCCAAGCCTTCACATTGGCACAGGACGTGGAATGATGTTTCCTCTTCTTCTTCTTCACATAACCTGCACAAAGTTGCTTCTTCTGCTGGATTTATGACACTCATGTGCCTTTTGAGGCGACAGTGTCCAGTAAGAAGGCCTACTGTTATCCTAACGATTTTACGTTTTTGATCCAGTAGGTCTTTCGTAAACTTGGCCGATGGTTCCTTGATGAACTGTTTGGCCTGTCTCAGTCTTGGATAGTTGTTCCACCATTCCTGAGACTCTTTTTGCATCCATTGTTTAATTGATGCCTTGCACAATGCCTTAGCAACTCCACAGAAGGGTTCGGGGCCTGTCATGGCCTTATCTGAGCCTTCTCGGGCTAATTCGCCGGCCTTTTCGTTGCCCAGATATCCCTCATGGCCTGGAACCCAGGCTAAGGTCACCTTATTTTGACTACTTAGCTCTGTCAGGTCTTCTAGACAGTCTTTCACCAGTCGTGATTTGATTTCTGGTGAGAGAATTGCCTTTAGAGCTGCTTGGCTATCAGAGTATATGGCAATAGTTTTGCCTGATACTTGCTGATTTAATATTTCTCTTGCACAGTGTTGTATGGCTATTAGCTCAGCCTGGAACACTGTTGCATATTTTCCTAAGCTTAGTGAAATCGTTGATTTCGACTTAGGTCCATAGATTCCAGCACCGGCTCCTTCCTTGGTTTTTGAACCGTCTGTGTACCAGACGAGTTCAGCCTGTACGAGAGGTCCCTGTTTCCAGGATTCTCGGGCTGGTATTTGAATTTGAAAATTTCTTTCAAATTTGTATGTGGTTATGGCTCTATCAGTAGGCATAGCTAGAATATTATCCCTTTTTACTTGCTGATATAGCCTTGTGTGGTCGGCGCTATGTAGTTGGCTTATTGGGTTTTGTCCCTGCATTAGCCTGTGAATAGCTGACCTGGTTTCTCCTTGTATGAAGATGTGCAATGGCGTGAGATTTAGCAATACCTCCATTGCTGCGGTTGGCGTAGTGCGCATGGCCCCAGTAGCACTTAGACAGGCAAGCCGCTGAATGCTAGTGAGTTGACCTATTACACTTGCCTGCGCAGTTTTGGTTACCCACGCCACTGCGCCATA